GTTTTTGCCATGCAAATTGATCCGTTGGCCAAGCGGATTTCCATTTTCTTGAGGGGAAAATACGCATCGAAGTGTGTGCTTGAACCGGGAAAACCAAAGTGTGTGTGTGAAAGAACTCAAAAAGCGAGCAGGTACAAGACTCATCTAAAAAAAATACTATGCTGTATGTCACACAATGGACATTGAGACCAAGCATTTTCATGTGATTCCATTCAATTTAGCTTATGAAGTATCATCAAGTCCGTTCACATCCATTCAATTCCATTCACAATGCGGGCTACATCATCAACAGCATCACACAGCGGCAACAGCAAAAATCAAATAAAAAAAACGGAACCAAATTCACTCAATTGGCTTTCGATTGCCATACTTAAGTAAAGAAAGCAGCCCAGAGAGAAAAAAAAATCGCTCCAGTCAATAATAGAGTAACTAAAAATGAAACGACGGAATGAAATAAATGTAAACAAGAACCAGGTTTGAAGCCGGTGGTTATGGAAAATCTATATTGCATGTGAAGTAAATTTTGTGTGAAGAAGATCGTCATCGTCGTCGTCCTCGTCGACGCCATTGACATCGTGCCGAAATCTCAATGGTGTGCCATATTTTGTATAATTAACGGTAAACGAACTGAATACGAAGACACACAAAATCAAGAAGAAACTTGAAAATCCAGAACAACCGAAGATGCTCCAAAAATCATCGTCAACAAATAGATCGTGTTTGAAGTGAGGTATTTTTTTTTGTATTTTACTTAACCGCTTTATTTTGCTCTTTGGATTGCACATAAGCAATGCGTTGAATGAAACACAGAACTAGTTGAGACAATAAGCGAAGTGTGATTGGCCGGCCGTTGGTCGCCTCGAAGCAATAAAGAAAAAAAACTCTACAAGAGAGACTTATTGATGAAATAAAAACCAGAACACAGTGTTTTGAGTCGTAACGCTCGACGAAAATAATTACACATTCAGCAATGGCTGAATTGTGTGCGTTGTTGTTATATTTTCCTATCTTCTAACCAATTTTTCCGTAAATCATTTAATATTGCAATTGTGAACACCAGCAACACGAGAGAGGGAAGCAACTTGGCACAAATAAGAGAGAGAAAAAAACACACACACACACCGCACTCTGAGGCGATGGCGATGGCAAGAAAATGGCAATAAATATGTGTTAATGGCCATGAAGACGGCAACACGATCTCACTAACGATAAACTAAAACAGAGAGACACACCATTGGCTTTGTCTTTGTTTATGCTTTTGCTGTTGTTGCTACTTTTTCACAATGTATGTCCAACATCCAGAGCAAAAATATAATTGCAGACCGATCGATAAAATGAACAACAATTACAAGCACAAATGTCACTGTCGCAAGCATTATGAAGCCGAAGAAATAATGAACTCAACCACATTGGCCGTCGCGCCAGCAAAATTCACCAAATGTATGTAATGGGCATGGCGTGGCCTAATAATGTGCATACTCTTTGTGCCAGGTGACGAAAAACAAAATTATACGTGAACAAAAAAAACGGCACGAATGAATATATGTATAATCATACATGAAGTAGATAAAAATTTATTAATAATTCATCGAATAAATGAACGTTCTGAAGTAAGTAACACTCAATGGAAAAAAGTGGCCATTTGAAAGATTAATCATCGACGTTTTTTCTTCGTTTTTTCTCTTCGTTGTGGTGTCGATCGGTTTCAGAGCAATTCGTATGCAACCCAACGAACGGAAATGTCAGCTTATGCAATTTTTGCACAGCCTGCGAAAGCGGTGTGCAACACTCGATCATTCAGTCAAAAAGAAGAAGAAGAAAATCGATAGCAGCTAGGAGCCGCTGTTCGAGCAGAAAAATGTTGAAAAAGATTTTTTGAGAAAAAAAAAACTCCCAAACACCACCATTGTCATTTCATCACTTTCTGGGACGCGCTAGGTATTGAAAAATGGCATCACATTCATATTCTAGTCATTGTGCAGGAAAACAATCAGAAATAAATGTTCAGTAGTTTGTATGTTTGCTCTTTCTTTCGCTTCTTTTTTTATTGTTGTTGCTCTTTGTTTGGATGATTTTATTGTTATGACTTGCTTCAAGAATTTTAATAAGGCCGAGCGCTTCTTTGGTTCTTCTATTTTTTTTTATTCGTGAGGTTTTTGGTTTGGAACTTACTTTTAAAACATCATAATCTGAATGATGATTGAATTATGTTTGTAATGCTCTCACACCAAAACGATCGAATCAAATCTCAATGCGATCTGTAAGCTGAACCAATCCAAAAGCACATAACAATAAATCGCAATGTTTGCTTTTCTTTCTAATCTAATCAAACCAAATCAATAACCCTAAATGATAATCCAATAAGTCATAGAGAGCGGCGGCCAAAAAAGAAACACAATTTGTTTAGCAATAGCACAAGCTATTGAATTGTTTGCGGATAACCGAAGTGAAAACGTTCAATTACATCCATCGTGTATATTGTACACAACCATATTAAATGGTATCACAAAGTCAGTTCACTCGATTAGAAAACAACAACAACGACTCACAATAAATGAGCAGCTTAAGCAAATACTGGAAAATGCGCGCCAATTCAACATTGTTTGGCTTTTGTCATTGTGTGCGTGCGTGAGAGACAGAGAGAGAGACACACACAGAGAATCCGCTTGAATGGTATTTAAATGAAAAGGCACTTCGGCTTCGTTTGCATTGAGTTCCGACCTACGTGCGTGACTATTTTTGCCCGTTCATCACCGTACACCGGCCACCGAATAAATGTGTCGATACAATGACTCTCTGCGTTCTCTGCCATCGAAATACGTTCACATTTCATTCGCCGCTGCTGTCGTCGTCGACGTCGTTGCTGCCTTTTTCTTCTGCTTCTCTCATTTTTCGCTATCGACTCTTTTCACCCAAACGATTCATAGTCATTTATTTAAATAAATATTTCGAAGAAAAAATGATATTCGTGTCGAATGAGAAGCGGCTTTTTATATTGGAAAGAATTGTATGCGCGCATTTGCGCTCGATCGCTGGTTTGCTCGCTCGGGCGCGCACATACACGTCGCGTCACTCGATTGATTCATACTTAAACATCAGAGCACATTTTATGAACTCAATTTTTCGATCGGTGCTTATATAATTAATAGCTCAGCCATTCGAAAAATGCTCCGAAACAAGAATGTAAATATAAATTGCTCGAAATTGCTGGTTAAACACACACAAACACACAGAACCGTCTCTCACACGCAACCAATTGCTATTTGTCACACACAACCGAAAATTTAAAAGAAAAAAAAACCAACAACATAAAATGCCGAAACGCGATCATAAATTACGCTCGTACTTCGTCTCTTAAACGCCTTCGCATGATGACGAAATCTTTAGCATTAACAAAAAGAAAAAAGAACCGTATGCTTGCGACTAAATTTCATGGCGATGTTTCTCTTCTCTCTATCTCTATTCTCAGCTTTTAAAGCGATAGTTATCGGATATTTATTTAGTGTTACCGGTGGTGCTGATGATGATGATGATTATGATGACAGAGCATGAAATAAAGCGATGGCTTAAATGACATTTGGTAAGTAGTAATTTGATAATTTCTAACCAAGTCAAATGGCGATCACGAGTGTGTGTGTGTGTGTGTGTGTGTGAATCAATCAGCAACAACAATAGACACAATTGACAACAGTAGCATCAGCAGTAATACAAGTTCAATCATATGGAATAAGTACAACAACAATAGAATGCACATGGAAGAATATGAATAAACAAGTGAAAAAAAAATGAAAAGTGATTTTTCTTCGCTCTGTGCAAAAGCCAATTAAACTGTTGTTAGTCAAGTCGAACAAATAGAATTTCTTGAAAGTTGTAAATAACAGAATTGCAACTGAGCTTTTGAGCTGATGAGTAATTTTGCAGCACATCGTTTTGATTTATATTTCTATTCATCGTGTTTCTCTCTCTCTCTCTCTTGCTCGCTCGCTTTCTGTTTTAAGCGCGCCCTGGAAATCAGAGACGAATACCAATTATCTGCAAGTTGCATTGTCAATACTCTAAACACAACCAACGAACGAAGGAACCAACCCAAGCTTCAATGATGGAATTTCACACGACAACGTAAATATTTATGTATGCAATCAAAAGTCTCTGTGTACACTGTGTTTTTTTCACACTTTTTTCACGCTCCGGTTGTACGGATCCATTATAATAAAATTCAGATAAAAATTGCAAAATAAACCGTATCGATGAAAGATGTGAACGAAAATTTGTGGTACGCATCGCGCCATTCACATTTGTGAAAATGCATTTTATGATTGCAATGGAACAAAAGAGATGCGCGTGACGTGCGATCCGGCTGAAAATAAAACATTTTCATGTACTCAATCAAAATAGTTGACAAATGATTTGATGACAAGACGCCACATGGGGTGGTTGTACGCATAACATCAGAGTTTCACTCTCACACGCGACAATTCGAGCTGATTGTTACGCGGCGACAAATAAACTCTTTGTTTTTATGCGATGTGTGATCTACTCCGGTGGAGTACGGTTTCATTTTTTTCATGTTTTTGTGTGTCTCATTTGGCGGCGACTATTAGCTCGTAATATGATTATCCGATACGGAAAGAAATATTCAACAGAAACAGATTAATAAGAATATATGCAGAATTTTACGTGTTTTTTTTAAATCCCGTAATAAAATAAGCAGCAACAACAACATAAAATGATGACTTCATTTACATAATGTCGAACAATGAGAATCGGTCACGGAAAAATTCCATTCGCACACATCTTCTTCTCATCATCATCATACCAGAATCATTATATGATCTCTTTTTTTTCTCCGTGTGTTTAAGTCGGGAGATTTTTAAATGGGAGCTACTTCATAATAAAAAATTATGCCTAAGTGGGCAAAAATTTCATTTCGTCGATGATTTGGATTTGTACAGAAGCAAACCAATTTTTATTGCCTTACTCCATAGCATGCATATACATACCTTTTGCTAATTAGAACCGTAAAAGTAAGAGTTTACGTTAGAGAGTGTTGTGTGTGATTCGAGACGAAGTGTTGTTGCTGTTTTTTTTTTCTTTCGTTTGTTTGTTTATTCGTTTATTATTAGTTTCACTAAATTTTCACCAAGTTCACTGGGTTTAAGTCGATGTTATTTGAAGTATATTTTTTCTCTGTTGAAGCCTAGGTTGAAAGCACACGAAAGAAGTTTTAGTTCTATTTCCAGTTATGATCCCTCTAACTCAATTTATAACATCGTGTTAGTCCTTCCGAATGGTTTCAATCTCAATCAGTTTTCATCAAATATTCAATGATTCGATCGAATTTCACTGATTTCGTTCACTTATTAACAATTATTATCGTCTATTATCTTGTTCTCTTTCACTTTTCCACTTTTGATTCCACTTTTTTTGCTGTTCTTTGCTTTGTTTATCGTGCACTGTTTCTACTTGACGCCAGTCACTGAAAGGTCAACACTCGATGCAATTTAAACGAATTTTCTCGTACGCTTCAAGCCATGCAATCGATCCGGTCCGATAGGTTATTGATCAGCTGTGCGCGCGCGCACCACATCGATTGTTGGCAACAATTTGCTGCTCAGTTGGCAAAAATGCCTACGCGAAATATTTTACACTGCAAACGAAAGAGAGAAAGAGAAGAACAAAAAAAAAACCATTTATAAAAATTGCGAAATGTTTTCTAAAACCATTTGAAATTCTTCAAATCGAAAAATCCGTGTCGATTCTTATGGAATTTTAATCGAATGTGAAACAAAAGACAAACGCCGATTAATCGAATGATATACGGATGTTTTCACAACAACACGCCGCACATATGAAATGATTCTCTCTTTAGCGCTATCCAAAATGGATTTATTTTCTTTTGGGAGTGTGAGGTGATTTCATTCAAAATAGCAATAGCGGAATAGAAAGGGAAGAAGCGAATTCGACAACAAACCAAAACCAACGAAAAAGAAAACCAGAACACTAACGGTGAGATAACAATCGCACTCGGTGAAACTGAGAGAGTCTCACTCGGCCAAACCCAAGAAACTATGAAATTATGTTGATTTATCAAAATAGACACACACACACACATACACTCACACGTTTCTAACGAGCCAACAGCAGCATTCGATTGCGTCAACGTGAGCCCAATCAATCGATAGAAAGATCGATAAAAAAACAACAATAATAACTCGAAAATAAATATGAGCTGATAAAAGTGGAGCTCGAACTTCGATGCGAAACAATTTGTAAACAACTAATTTTCGATACGCAATAGAAAAAGAAAAGACGAAGAGATGTCGAACGAGGTTAGATAAAGTGCGTGGAGAAAAAGTAACTGCAACGATCTTGGGATGCCGCACGCGAAAAAAAAACAACAACAACAACAACAAAAAACAGAACGATATATCGTTTGCGTATTCAAATTCAGCTCACATACATGCACGACAAATTATTTCTTATTTTCTTTTTTTTGCACAAAATGAGAACAAAATACACACGCATCCATACGTAATTAATGAGTTTAAAGACGAAACGAAATAATAAAAATAAAAACGGTATCGACAAAACGAAACACAGAACAACCAGCGTGATACACACACCATACGAAATTGATGTTTTTTTCTTCTGCAAAAACAAACACTGTAAACAAAGAATATAGATCCCAGTTTGAAAAAAATTCACTTTGCTCTCGGCCTATTGAAATGCATAGCAAATAACAACCGAGCAAATTATTGTTCTTGGCTCGTAGCTGCTGCTGCTTTTTGTTTTACTTTATTTTATTTTATTTTTCTTTCTTCTTCTCCTACTCTTTTCGTCTCCTAGTTTTCTTATATCATTTTGTGTTGCAGTCAGTTTTTTTTTGTCGAGTGAAAACACGTACCCCGTGTGCACAACTGCAAAAGACAGCGGGTTTGATTGCTGTGTTTGGTGTGTGCTGTTTTATTTTTCTCGTTTATTTTCACAATCGTTTGTGGAACAGCGAACTGAACGTGGCAAAAGACTTCAACAAACTAAAACGCGAAACCTTTCGACTTTCATTAAATTCCACAACTCCAAGATATAAATACAACCACACACACGAGCACGCGAGCGAACCAACGAACAAATGAGCAAGAGAGCGAGCGAACGATCCAGACCATACAATCAGCCACGAAAAGACACATCGAACAACATCGACAGAGAGATAAATACGCTCTGCCACACCGTCAGCCAACAAATGCCCATACGAGAAATGCCATAGACCAACTCAACGACGACAACGACAACGACAACGACAACGACAACGACAACAACGACGATGACGTCGACGACGGCGACGGCGACGGCGTATGCGATACACATTTTTGCAATCATTTCTTCTCAATCTCATTGTGTTTGAGTAGGGTGGAGCAGTTTCAACTGCAAACAAAATACAAATTGAATGGCCGATTTCTTTTTCTTTGTCAATTAAACTATGAACAATTAAAAATGGATTTTTTGTTAATTTAAAACTCTTTTTTATTCATTTATTTTCAAGTCGATGTTTTCAATTTCGACGAACTTGCATTTGATTTTTATTGCTAAAAATAGCATTTCATTGATTATAATGAAAACAAAATATGCCGTCTACACATTTATCAGAATAGTAACATTGATTAACACTATGACTGTTCTTCATATTTGCAACATATTACTGTTCTTGGGAGACTCCAGGGCCCCCAAGATACTTCATATGAAATCTGGACTGTGATAAGAGATAACAAATTAGTGTCTGAAGCAAAGTTGTAATACTCAAAGTTTGCTATAATTTTGGTGCAACAAATAGTGCTTATCTCTTATCAGTTCCGTGAAAAACGCGAAAAAACGCGAAAATCGCGAAATTTTTCCACATCGTTTTAGTGAAGCTGATAAGAAATAAGAGACTTGCCTTTTTGACAGAAATGTAGAGCAGCTTGAGTACTACAACTTCACCATATACATGAAGTCGTTATCTCTTATCAGTTTCGCGAAAAATGATTATCAAAAACTCGCGTTTTTCGCGTAACTGATAAGAGATAATGACTTGATGTCTATGGTGAAGTTGTAGTACTCAAGCTGTTCAACAACTTTGCCGAAGATATCAAGTCGTTATCTTTTATCAGTTTCGCGGAATATGCGAGAAACCGCAGGAAATCGCGAAAAAACGCGTTTTTTTCCTTATCATTTTTCACGGAACTGATAAGAGATAACGAAATGGTGTCTAAGGCAAAGTTGTAGTTCTGGTTGAGTACTACAATTATTCCGATTCATTAATTCGTTATCTCTTATCAGTTCCGTGAAAAAATGATAGGGAAAAAACGCGTTTTTTCGCGGTTTTTTGCGGTTTCTCGCGTAATTGATAAGAGATAACGGAATAATGAATCAGAATAATTGTAGTACTCGACCAGAACTACAACTTTGCCTTAGACACCATCTCGTTATCTCTTATCTTTTCCGTGAAAAATGATAAGGAAAAAAACGCGTTTTTTCGCGGTTTTCTGCGGTTTCTCGCGTATTCCGCGAAACTGATATTAGATAACGGCTTGTTGTCTTGAGCAAAGTTGTAGAGCAGCTTGAGTACTACAACTTCGTCATAGACACTAAGTCGATATCTCTTCTCATAGTCCAGTTATAATAGAAAATAGCCATGGGGCCCTGGAGTCCCCCAAGAACAACAGCGTAACATGTTTTGCGGCAGGCTGTATTTTACACATACTCACACATATGCATATGTTTTTTTTTCATTCGTGTAGAGAAATGTTCAATCTATACAATGAGACTTAACTCCAGTTGGTTTATACACTGTTTAGTACTTTTATTCAACTTTAAAGTTCGCTGGGGGCCCTGGGTGCCCCAAGAACAATCATAGTGTTAATATCAAAAGAAGTGAACTTTGATCGAATCCAAACTGAGACTCAAATGAAAAATTTGATTTGAAATCGAAGAGTAATCTCGCTTTTAACCCGTTTTCAAAACATTAATTTTTTTGTCTGGAAAAGTCAACATTCGGTAGGGAATGGGTTAACCCATTTTGGCCCACGATTTATTCGGCTGACTAGAATGACCTGAAAATTGGCACCGAAGCTAGTTTTGGCATTAATATGAAAAATAGACTTCAACCTCTCCTCTAAAGAAATTCAATTTTCCAAGGGAGAAACCCTTGGATTTTTGGACTTTTTTCCGATTTTCAGAAAGAACTTGTTTCATTCTCACCGTCGCTGCTTGACTGTCACTCAAACGTCGTAAACAACACACACATTAAAGACTGACAGTTTAATCGTGAAACCCCTGATGAATCAGGGATGGACTTCCTAGATATTAAAATTAGCCAAAATGAACAAGTCGGTTAGATTTTGAGATAAACTACATTTTCTCTTTCAAAAATGTCGTGTCTGAATAGACCCAAATGTAGAAATCTGAAGCGTTGCGTTTTCGCAACGTGGGACCAAAATGGGTTAAACACATTTTGATCAAATCTATTGGTGAGACGTAAAAGAACACAAGTTTGTCCAACTTCGTAGCCTTAAAGAGAAGTATGTTTGATGGCAACTAAAAATGGTTAAAAGAATGTATGTAATTTGAATGGTAGCGTTAGCGAAAAAAGAATGCATGTTCATGGTCAAGTAAATTTTGCAAAAAGAATGCATGTTGTTCTATCTATTCAGTTAATAATGAAGAGAAGCATGTTCTCATACATTTATATTGTCAAAAAAGAAAGTATGTTGGCTAAAATAGTGTAAATTATTAAATTTATTCCGACTGCCGTGAACAGGAATTCATAAACCTTAACACGCTCGGACATCTAATGTATTTGTTGTTGTACACTGAAACGGCGCGCGGTTATGAATGAAGTGGACAGGAGATGCGTGTTTCATCGAGCGCGCATGCGCACTCTGAGAGTACTGTGCACCTGTTACTCCACTCGATTCATTCACTGCGACGGCACGACTGGTGTGTGACAATAAATATATTGGTCGTTCGCTTGTCCGACCGTGTTAAGGTTTATGAATTCCTGTTCACGGCGGTCGGAATAAAATTTTTTATTTACATTATTTTAGCCAACATACTTTCTTTTTTGGCAATATAAATGTATGAGAACATGCTTCTCTTTATTATTAACTGAATAGATAGAACAACATGCATTCTTTTTGCAAAATTTACTTGACCATAAACATGCATTCTTTTTCCGCTAACGCTACCATTCAAATTACATACATTCTTTTAACCATTTTTAGTTGCCATCAAACATACTTCTCTTTTACTCAGACAAAATCGATCGAAAACATACTTTCCTTTTCAAATATTTAAAACTGAAAAAAAAACATACGTTCTTTTACGTCTCACGAATAGAAATAAACAAACGAAAGAAATAGTAATAAAAATCGTACGTTCAATAAAAAGTTAGACAAAGTAACGATGATCTTTTGTTCGATAATGAAAAAATATCGATAAAATAATCAATAATTTTTCATCACGAATGACGAACTGTCAAATCGATTAAATAGGTAAAAAGCGTACAAAATTTAATACAAGCCCATAAAAAACATGGACTAAAGAATATAAATACAAACAGTTCATTTCATATTATGTCTAAATCATTTTTCTCTTCGAAATGCTGAAAAAATTCAATCACCATGAAATCAATCCTACCTACTATGTACACATTTTTTCTCTCTTGAAATTTTTTTGTTCGTTATACAGAAATGTGCAAATACAGACTCATCGTGCGCACTGTAATCGAGAGCGCGAAAGAATCTGAACGTCTTCGGTGTGTCTATCGGTTGCTGTTGTTTTTGTTTCTCTTCATCTGTTCGTTTCAACACTGCATTCATTTGCTTAATACAACCGTCGGGTTGCCTTCTTCACTGTTGTGTGTGTGTGTGTGTGTGTGTGTTGTTGTTGTTGGTCGAGTCTCATTCGGACGATTGTATTGGTAGAAAAACAGAAACATCTGATTTTAAATGTGAATATCACAGTTGAAGAATTGTTTCAATTCCAATACACTGCAGCAAATCGTTTGAGCTGGTCAAACATGCTTTTCGAAAATTACTTTGGATTTGATAGCATTTTGACCTCATAAAAAAAGAGATTTTCTAGATTATCTCCAATAAATACAAAATGCTCTAGTATTTCCATAATTAAAATCATCGTACAACTCAATCAGCCATTGTTCGAATATCGATAAAGATAAATCAAAACTGAATGATGATTGAAATATAATCGCTAAATTTGTCCAATTCTTTCTAATTTACAGTAGCATGAACTCAAATATCCAGAGTGAAGCTTATTTCATCGATGAACTTAGTTATAAATATATCGACATTGAGAAGCCCTCATAAGCTTCAACTTTCGATATTTCATTTGGAAAAGCGAAACCAAATCGCAGTAGCTTTTTCCTATCCGGTTAGTGTCTTTGCTTAAGCAAACATTCAAACCGAATCAAAAGTGACGTCGTGGAACGTGCCCCAAATTACGCAGTCGACGGCTGTCAAAACAACTTTTGAAAACCAATCGCTGATTATTTTTATGGTTTAATGGATCGAATCTGTGTGTTTATTTTTTTTTATCAAAATTTTGCGGTGAGATTTGAGTTGATTACGTGCCCATACAGATATTCAACGTTCGAATGCATTTAGTAAAATCGACTGTTTCGCTAGTCAAATTGTGAGTTGTATTTAAATTATTGCCAAGTTGTTTTGTATTTCATTCCAATTAGGCAAACACGTAGAGATTAGTTGCTTTGATTGCCTTGTACATATGCGAATACACATATTTCAGATCGATTGGTCATCAAAGTTTCGTTCAACATCTGCTACAGCCCCGATTTTTTCACACAATAGCCGCTGTCAAAATGAAGTACTTGAATCAAGAAGAAGCAACGAATATCGATTTGGAATTGTTCAACGAGTATAAGTACAGTGTCGATCAATTGATGGAACTAGCCGGATTGAGTTGTGCACATGCCGTTGCTAAGTGTTATCGAATAAACGAACTCACCAAACGTATTTTAGTTTGTTGCGGACCCGGTAATAATGGTGGTGATGGATTGGTTTGCGCTCGTCATTTGGCCATTTTGGGCTATCGATGTACCATTTATTATCCAAAACGCACCGATAAAGATCTATATCGTAATTTAGTGGCACAGTGCAGTGCATTTGGTGAAGCAATCAATTTTATCGACACCTGCCCATCGAATGCAAGCGACTATTCACTTATCATTGATGCACTGTTTGGATTCAGCTTTCGGCCACCGGTTCGCGACAACTTCTTACCCATCATTCGTACTCTGGAAAAGGCCACCATTCCAATTGTCAGGTCAGATATTTGTTTAAATTGAAAATTCAGATTTTGTTTTCATCATTGGCGAAAATGATTTCTTGATTTTTCGCTTTTAAATTTAAAATTTCTTTTTCCTAGAAGATTTAAAGTTTTTCTTTTCATTTTTGCAACAACAAAAAAATTCAAAATTATGTAAAAAATTATTCTTTTTTTTTCTCTGTACAGCATCGATATCCCGAGCGGCTGGCACGTTGAAAATGGTCCGCAGCCAATTGAGGATGGTCAATCGGGGAATGTGATACAAGCAATTAAACCGGAGTTGCTGGTGTCTTTGACGGCACCGAAACTGTGTGCAAAACATTTCCGTGGGAAATATCACTACTTGGTATGGATTGCCCTGTCCATTATCTATATATATATATTCTGTGTAGAATGTTCACGCAGTGATTCATAGGAACTAATGTTGTATTTTTTCCTTTTTTCTTGCAAAAATCTTCAGGGAGGCCGATTTGTTCCACCGCCACTGCAGCAAAAATACGACTTGAATTTGATTGCATATCCGGGCACCGAAAGTTGTGTTGAAATTCCGTCAGAGAATTAATCGCCACATTTCATTGATTCTTCTATGAAAATGAATCCTCTCTTTTTTTGAACTCTTTTCCCTATGGATTTTTTTATTGATTTTTTTCACTTTGTATTTGTTATAATCGTATAGCTTCATGCAAATAAATGGCATAGTTGAACAAAAGAGAATCCATTTTTTCAATTTCTTATACAAATAAGTAGAATGCATTCGGTTCTGTCGGTTGACTTGATTTCTGAGTTTTTTATTTGATTCATTAAAACGACATGTAAAATATTCACGTTCATGTGTAACAATGACAATGTTTTTTTTAAGTATTTTTTGTTTAATTTCTTCTGTAGTTTTCCACTCAAGTACGTGCGTGTACGGTGTGTGTGTGATCCAATTATTTAGCACATAAATAAAATCGGCATTCAAATTAATGTATCGGCAAAGTGTTCAACTCTCATCACTAACGGCATCATTGCGGTGTGCACAACATCACAAATTAATTGAATTTTTGTTCATGTAATTTCATTCGCTTTCGACCTATTTGTCTGGTTTTTTTTGCACTATGAGCAATTTCTTTATTTCTCTCTATCAGGGCAACCAAAAATATTTATGAAAAAACTTGAAATATTTGGGCATCGCAAAATAATTTTTTTCAAACATTTTTTTAGAAAAAAAAAAAAAAATCTAAAAAAATGCAATTTTTCGAAGAATAATTGTAGATCAATTAGAAGTCGTAAATTGTTTTTTTTGAAATGAACTGAAAATATGTACGAAAAAACATCGAAAATCCTCGAAATATGAATTCGAAAAACTCAAAAATGGTAAACTATTTATTTTGCCACCCGAAAAAGCCAGAATATTTATTTAAATTTGTTTCATTTCAATAAATATTTCCGATTGCCCTGTTCATTATCTAGATTCTACGTAGAAAGTTCACGCAGTGATCATAAGAACTAATGTTGTTGTTTTTTTTTCTTCTCTTGCTAAAATCTTCTAATTTTTATTTTTCTCGATTCGATCGTTTTCGGTTTCAATTCAAATTAAATTGAGCAATGTCTTTGCTGTTGTTCTCAGAAAAAAATAGAATATTTACAGGTCTTAAAGTCTATTCCTTAACATTCACTTTGATTTGTTGTTGTTTTCTCGAATGATCAACACATTTGATTGGTGGAATTTGAAATACATTTTCGGAGTCTAGTCTTATTGCATTCTTTTTTTTCTCCATTTTTGAATTTAATTGATGAATCGTTCTTTGACTTTGATTTCAATCGAACGGTGCATTTGCCTGAATATTCAGAAGAAAGAGTATCGACAACTTCAATCATCATCATAAATTGGATTGTTGTTATTGGCCAGTTATTTTGTATGTGTGTGAAATTGTTAAGTTCCATTTTGTGTTTCGCTTTCATTTTTATTATGGCACATTTTTTGGTTTGATTCTCTTAAAAAATACTCAGTTTTATGTACAAAATGGAGTGTGGCAGTACATATTCTAGAGAGATGAAAACAAGCGAGAATTTATGAAAACGAAAAATTCAAAGCCGTTTAGAATTTGTGTGTTTGTGTGTGTGAGTCAGTAACTCTGTTTGTGTTGCAAATGTTTCCGAGCTCATGCGGAAGTGCTTACTGCATATCTAAAATCTCAGTAAATTTTAAAATCTTCATTCTCATTTCAGTGTAAAATTTGAAATGTGCATTCTAGAACATTTTATAGAGTTGTTTAAAAATTTACTGACTCACAATCGACAATTCAGGCAACGTGCTTACAGTTCACTAGTGTGTGTGTGTGTGTGTGTGTGTGTGTTTTATCAAGTGCAATAAAATATTTATATAGCAAAAACCATTTTGAAATAATCCATTTATTTTTGAATTGACAATTTTGGCGGTGGCAAACGAAAAAAAAATGAGTCGTAAAATGCGCACACAAAATTTTAACAATAAATCCCATCGACTACAATTCCGACACTAGCTATAAAATTTGTGTATGTATTTCTGTTTTTTTTACTTATACCGAATGCTTTATCAATGTGTCAGTGCGTCCTAATCTCTCACTCTTCGGCGAGCGACAGAGAGAAAGAGAAAGAACTATAAAAAGTATGTGTGTGTATGTGACATTTGATACAATGATGACAATTAAAATTAGGTAAGGCATAAATTTACAATTTGACCATCAATAAAGCTTTCTCCTATGTATCAGTTATTTTTTTTTTCTTTCATGTTTGTTCGGCTATTGGTGCACATTTGGAAATACATAAATATAAACGATTTGCTAACGAGTATTGCAGTAAATATATATATATATATATCTATATAATTCTCTGTTTCATTTTTTTTCTGTTCTTTTTCATTCATAATAAGCAGCTATTTGTTATTGTTAAAATTGTTCAGGATATTTTTCGTTGGCGGCGTAATAGTTTTCGTTTGGAGTTCAGCATAAGCGATGTTATGGAGTGAGAGTGAAAATCTCCGTAAAATATATGAAACATTCATTCCAAAAGAAAAAGAAAAACACTACATTCTAAAGATTGATTTTGCATTTCTACAAAGCTGATTGTTGTTCCGTTGATATTTTAGTTGTTATTGTTGGCTTGGCAAATCTCATTTCCATTTTTTAAATTGCGGCGAGAATTGAAATGATGAAGAAGACATTAAAAAAAAATGAAATGATAAATCGATTTCACGCGACTAATGCAATTCTAATAAGTTTAAATCACGCATTATGACTATTGTTACCGTACGTTTGCTTAGATTTGTTGGTTAAAATTAAAACATCACCGATTGCACCGTTAGCACTGTTCGTCACTTTATCACTTTTGCTAAAATTATTACTATTATTACTACTGGTGCTGGTGTCCGATACCGTCGCTATCGCCGCCATTGTCACTGCATGACCACTATTTGGCGGCTTATTTATGGTTCCATTGGAATTAAATATTGAATGTGTTGTGTCATCAAACATTAGATTATCACCCTGAATTATGGTTGTTGTGTCGTCTGAAAGTAAATCAGTCGCACGTATTTGGCCTGGTATCGTACGATCTAATATATTGATTATTTGATTTTGATCATCGTCATCGTCATCGTCATCATCGTCCAAATCGATGCGTTCCATATCATCGTGTGGAATCTCATGAAAACTACTTGCTTCGCTACGCAACGAATGTGGCGCCTCATTAAATTCATCCAATTCATCCATACCTATTATTAAGTTTCAGAGCAAAATTAATACGGACTTGATTGACTCAATCGACAAGAAAATCGATTTCATTTCCAGAATCGCAGGAGTTTTTTTTTTTTGGAAGATTTTCATATTCAATTTTGAAAATGGATTTTTATCAATGTTCAGCTATTTTAGTAGCAAAGAATCGATAATAATTTTAAAATAATAGTTGTTGTAGTTGACTATCGGGCGATTCGTTGCCATTTTCTTCACACTCACCTGAATATTTTGTACTCGCCAGCAGCAAATACTGACCAGCACGATTTGGCCATAACAACCCAGTCATCACACAATAGCCTAAACAATCGGCTGAATTCGTAATACCTAAGGCGGTAAAATGTGACGCGTTTTAAAATCGATCGAAAAAAAGGTCAAAATTAAATGCCAGGTCTATGTTTAAAATCAGATAAATATATATACCTAATAAAAGTTTGTATCGCCACAATGGGCTGACTTGACTTGCGACAATTGCAACAATCGGTAAATAAATGAACCAAACCAAACTGGATGCACCGAAATGCAGCAAAAAGTCCAATTTTCTCGTTGAATGCTCGTATTTCATTGTGTTTCGTAGTTCCCATAAAAACCATAGCATAATGGATGATCTACGAATAAAATGGCAATTTCAGTACATTTCATAATAATAAACACATTAAAAGTGGGCGCGAATTGTGAACAAAATTCATTAAACATCGAATTCATAGACAATGTTCATAAAACATTCAAATTCATTGAAATTTCATGCGGTACATTAACCAAATGCGTACCTAGATACCAGAAGCAATCGACCCGGCCATGTTTGATACTCATCTATATCTGATATGATATCAACCTCGGTCTGAAAGAGAGATAAATGTAAAGAGTGGGTAAATCAATTTTATTTCTGCTTACGTGAGAAAACGGTGGGATTTTAGAAACGCGATTGGTATTATTATTCAACTTACTCGGTTCCACACGTACAGCACGATGTGAAAAACACAATATGGCACCCAAACTGACATAAGTAATGTCCACCCAGATTTTGTGACCTGTTGTCGAGTAACCGCCCATCCTTTGGCAAGCAACAGTAATATCAACATAAATGTTGACTGAAACAAACAGACAAACAACAAAAATTATGCATGATAAACATTTCTTGTCCCATTTGATAATAAAAATTTGATGATAATTATATTCGTCTCTCTCTCTCTTTCTCTCTCTCTCTCTTGCTTACCCTACTGAGAATATCCAGTATATCGCCGATAGTTTTGACGGTATCACTTCCGATGCCACCAATAGTGTACCGGATATAATAGCCCAGCATAAATACAAGGCTGACAAACTCGAGTATCAGACTTAATGTAAAAAGTTTTGTGACGGGATGGCGTTGTATTCGTACAGCATAGATTTGAATTGGCACCAATATCAAGTAGACCGTCAAAAAGATCAGATTCATTTCGAGTATGTTTTGTTGATCGAATGAGAATTGAAAGGTTAATGGATTCGATGACGATCGATTCGGATTTCCGTTCACCAACCGAATGTCATATCTAATCTCATAGTCATAATCAGCATTCATGTAACGATGATTCTTCTCGTTGGTTGCATTCGATTTGGATGCGGTACGAAATTTGTGCGGATCAAAATGATGCCAGGTACATGTAATGTTATCACGATAGCAGGCAACCAGCGAAATATACCAGAATCTGTGAATGTTTGCGACGAAAAGAGAATGAAATTAGTTATTTTTTTTCAACAAAACACCTTCGATACATACATATATCATATTGCATGAATGGAAAAATGTCAATTCATAGGAAAAAAAATTAATTTCAAATTGTTTTTCGTTTTTGTGTTTCATGAAAAAATTCTTTTTTTTCCCTTTCTTCAACAATCCATACACCGTTTATTTAGTGCGAACAAAGCAGGCGGAAAAAAAGAACACATGTGGCTTTGAAACACTATATTCATTCACTTTGAGTGTAAATAGTGCCTATTGTCCACGGGCACTCGTTTCATTTTGGATATTTTTTTCCCTGTTCATTTCAGGCGGAGATAGAGAAAATGAAATATATAGTACACGTACTCAGTGATTGCGCATGCAAATCGTAAATAATACTTGCACAATGCAAGTCTACGCAATGCTTTTATTTCACGTGTATTGTTTGCAAAATGGTCCGGTATTTTGATTGTTGCTACTCGTTTTTTTGTCTCATTCTTTTCTGCTTACCTGGGCTGATTTAAATCGCTGATTACATATGTGAATTGATGACCCGGTATCACATTTAATGGCGTATCTTCGTCTTCGCACAGTTGATCCCGTGGACATGGTATGTGTCGCAAGAAGTCGAGTGTGTCCTTTTGTGGCCGGCAAACCTTATCGAATGCAAATTGATCGATGGTCGAAAACATTTTTTGGCATGCTGCATCGCGGTTGACCAACGATCGGCTGGCGTATAATGGTTCAAAATTGTGTTTGTCCAGCACAGCGAATGTGATTTTCACGGGGAATTGCTCTTTCGATGTTATATTACCATAGATATAGCCGAATGAGTCACGTTGCGAATGTCGTTCGGTCTTTTGAAAACCGAATTTGGCCAGAAATTTAAAGAATTCTGTGGTACGAAATGTACCGGTGATATGAGTGGCATTGTGTAAAACAATCGAATCGATCAGAATTACGATAAGCAGCACATTTGAGAAAATGTGCGATTTCAAGAGCATTATGCCTGCCCAGCTGCACACGCACACAAACCGATTATGCACAACGGCAAGCACAACGCACACCGTCGTCTACCTTTCTATCGTGGTAGATAACAAATAGGTTTTCGTTTCTCCTTTTTTCCCCCTAAATTATTTCCACTGATTTTTTTATTCTGTGATTCTCTTCAACCAAATCAATTATTTTAAAATGTATAAACGAAAAAGGGAAATTTTGATTTTGACACAGACACCAATTTTTTTTTTAATTGATTCACTTCGCTATTGCTGCTACTGCTGTTGCGTTTCGCTAAACACTCAAAACAATTTCGTTTGTCGCATTCACTTTCCTTTCTCTTTTTCTTCACAATATTCACGGTGAATTTCATTCGGAACAAAGGAGTTTTTTCTTTGATATCCTCACAATTTCACTACAGCCCAATTTACACATTACGTGGTGATATTGTTGTTGAAACATTCACAATTTTTCTCAGGGATTCCCGTCACATTCTCTAAATTCGATGTTTTCGGTGGCGTGTTTTTCTCTATTTTGTTATTTTTTTCTCTTCACTTGAGCTAATTGACTGACAAGCTACGCTACGCGGCTGTCAATTTCTCACCAAAACTCTCACGGAACAGAGAAAGAACGATTGTTGTTTGTCATCAGCAGCGCCATCGTGGTGTTCAATCTGGAACCATTCATCAGATGTCACATTGAGAATGATGGTTCGATGTGAATTACATTAAATTCTTATTGGAGGGTGGAGAAAAACATTTTTCATTTGTCACGAAAAGTGATTCAAAAGCTTTTATTTCGACAATAAATGTAGCAAATTGAGAATTTTAATTAAAAGAAGGACGTTTGATTGGGAAAATTACGACATCAATATGTAAACTTGGGGAAATAATATAAATAGCTTTTTGAGAAAAGCTAAATTGGCTTGCAGGATATATTTTTCAGTTCGCAATAAGTGTACAATAGAATGCAGTGACTGCCTTCAATGTACGCTTTTCCAATTTGAATTCGAAATGGTAAACGTATTCCGTAACAAGTACGTTGGTGTCTTTCTGAACGTTTCTGAGTCTTTCAACAATATTTTGAGATTGCCTCTGAAACGCATCACTGTTAGAAGGGGACGAAACGACAATGAAATGATTCATTTCTTTTAAAATTTAGAGGTTTAGTAAAGCTACTTTACTCAAACTTGAAGTGGAAAACATAAAAGGACTAGGAGACTTGGTCGAGTAACGGGAAGCGATTTGATCTTCGCCACGACTTTTCCAAATGAAGAGGAGTTTTGAGACACACATGGTTGGAAAAATGATCATGCCTGTTATCAAATTGCCAAACAAAACTATATAAAAATGAAAATTCCAAAACAAAAATTATAATCAACCAAAGGATTTGTTTATAGCACAACTTAAAACGGGAAGAAAAAAATTGGAATTTTCCCATTGGATTCAAAAATGTAAAAACACACATACATTTTTTTCGATGTGTGATTAAAAGAAATTAGCTTCGAATATGCGCGCAATGAGCCAAGCCCACGTAAATTTGCATTTGAATGCATCGCAAATGATTTTTCATTAAAATTCCATTGAATAGACGTTGGTTTCTTTTTCCCTTGGAATCCGTTGAGCTATAATTTCGTAAAATGAGTTATCTGGCCAATATATAATGTGGTTGCTGTTTCGGGGAAAATATGCCATTGGAGAATTACATTTAGTTCGTTTTTTTTCTACTTCCTTTTGCGAAAATAATTACAACATTCCGTTTCAATAGTTTTTTTGTTGCGTTTGTTTCGTGACCTCAAAAAAGTTTTAAATTGAAATCAAAAGCCCATGAGTGCCCATTGATTATTTCACACACTGACGAAAGGAGTTCTAAACATGCTGAAGAATTAAGCGCGGCACACACCTTGCGATGAACTGCAATGTCCGAATGGAATTCTGAATGGTCATACCATCGAGAACGAGCGAGCGAGCAACAGAATGAAAGGGATATTGAAAAAGAAGAACGAATAAAAGAAAAATTCGGCTATTCTTCACTGAAGCAGAAGGAAAAAAGAACCCCTGGTGAATGTGGCGAACCATTGTAATTTCAAGTGGTCGCGACTGACTGAAAATTGACCAGTAATAATTGTATGTTGCCATTTTTAAGGCTCTTGAATGTTGTTAATTGGGGCGAAATATTATGTGGAACAAACTCACACACTCAAAGCACGCACTAATCGTCATTTTCTTTGAATTTCACTCGGATACAATTGAGTTTTTTCTTCCCTACTCGTTACTCATTCTTCAGTACACTCTTATTGGCTTGTTTATTTATTTTTATTTTCCACATTTTGGTATTTGGTGTTTTGCCTTGACCCTAATTTTTACAAACTCTCACCCGCATACACGCACACTCACACACAAACACATCGAGCGATCGACTGACCGATTTTTCTTTGTGAATGGAATAAATTGGAAAGATGAAAAGCAAGGAGAAAATCGCACGTCAACGGAATCCGAAATGAACGAATGAACCACTCGATAACACGACCAAAAAGGGTCACAGACTTGATTCAATGAATAAGTGGTAGTGGTTGTATTTCTTTTTTTCTCACTCGTTCGGTATTCGGCTTTGTACGCGTTGATTTCGGGTGGACGCGGCAAAACGACACCACTGAAGAAAAAAAACATTGTTTCACACAGCGGTTCACTTCGATCATAGAGCATTGTTGGTAAATTTTCACGTGCGTAAAAGTTCAAACATTTTTATTGTGTACTTGGCGCGGCGTCGGTGGTAGCGGTGATGGTGTGCATAGAACCAGCAAATGAGGACACACGACCAATCTTTGTTCAATCAAATGAAATTTGTTGTTGTATGAATATGAGAAAGCAAGCAACAACCATTCATGCCGTACAAACAGCCACAAGCAAACACAAAAATCTGTGTCAAATCTGTTTTTTTTCCTCTTTATATTTCAATAATTTCCAAAAATAAACCCAATGAAACCATAACGGAAACGCAAATGAGAGTAAACAAAAATAATAAAAAATGTTATTAGAATTAAAAATATTCTTTTTCACTGGCTGAATTTCGACCAGATACATTTTGAATGCCAAAGCACCCATTTAATGTCGCTATAAATGCGAAATTGTTGATTTCAAACAACAACAAAAGGAAAGAAAAAAACACAACAAAAATTGATCTCAAAACAGATTGATTTGGATCTGTGATAAGAGAAAAACAAAAAACTCAGCGAGTGAGAGTCAATAACAAAAGAAGAGCGAAAGAAGTAAAAAAAGTTTTCACTTCGTGGTTAATTGGGTCTTCGGTTTTGTTTATTTCGGCAAACTTTATCAAATTATGTAAAGTTTAAGTTGAAGCACGCATCTATGTTATTACTTTGTGATGGTTGAAGGTGTTTTTGTCGCGCTTCCGCCTCTCTTTCTCTTTCCTCTCGAGCACAACCGTCCACCAACCGCATAAAGTTATTTAAAAACAACTTATAAATATACTCTGTGCGCTTTAACATTTACTATACTTACCTCGGCTCACACACGATTAATTTTTCCAACAAATGTTACCAATATTTTTGTTGCTGTTGCTTGTTGTTCGTTCAATTATTTTTAGTTTGTGAACTTTGTTCAGTTTCCGTCGTACGCTATCGCAAAATTCAACAAAATTTCATGTACAGCACAGGAGCTGTGCCACTTGACGACAACCGACGACGACGGCGACGATGTCAAGTAAAAAAGTTATTTGTACAAATGACAGGTGGGCGAATTCGCGAGTATATACTCTCATACTCACTCATTTTGAAAATGAGTATGTCTCGACATACTCTCATACTCATAGATACTCTTTGAGTATGAGAGTATATACTCAGAGTATACACTCTTTGATTTTGAGTATGTCTCGACCTACTCATTTTTTACCCAAAGAGTAACTCTACACCTACTCTTTTTCCTACTCTTTTTCATACTCTTTTTCATACTCATTTGAGTATGTCTCGACATACTCAGTTTTTACCCAAAGAGTAACTCTACACCTACCCTTTTTTCTACTCTTTTTCATACTCTTTTTCATACTCATTTTAGTTTGTCTCGACTTACTCATTTTTTTGCGAAAGAGTAACTCTACACTTACTCACTCGTTTTCCCTCCCTCAGAAAAATATATAAAGGATATATAACTTTTTCTGAGGAGAAAAAAAATTGAAAATGAGTATGTCGAGACATACTCAAATGAGTATGAAAAAGAGTATGAAAAAGAGTAGGTGTAGAGTTACTCTTTGGGTAAAAAATGAGTAGGTCGAGACATACTCAAAATCAAAGAGTATATACTCTCATACTCAAAGAGTATCTATGAGTATGAGAGTATGTCGAGACATACTCATTTTCCGTTTGTATGGGAGTAGGAGTAGGAGTATGAATTATACTCTCTTACTCCGCCCACCTGTAGTACAAATTGCGGGAAGAGTTGTTGTGTGCTGCCTGAAGCAGATGATTGCATCAATGGCCAAGCGAAAAAAAATTTCAATTGAATTTTGCATAGCAAAGGGAATTGTTTGGAAAAGTGCGTGAAAGTCCTCGACAATTCAAGCACTTATTGTGCTAGTTTTTCTTTTCTCATTATTTTCACATTGTTTTGTGTGTGTTTACAGCGAATTAATCAAGTGTATTGTGAACAGTTTGTCGAGGCAACGAACATGAAATGAGAAAAAATTCAGATTTCTCCGTTTTCTAATTGCTGCAAACACGATGCAAATATACACGTTCTAAACAATATGCCATGCACTCATGATTGCATATATATATATATGTGTCCGTCCGTGTATGCATAATGAACAGTAGTCGCTCCGGTCGATTTTACGAATTGGTCATTTTAATGCCATGTCGCGAAAACAATGAACTCATCCTGGGTGATTTATCGTATCGGGGCTCGATCGAACTGATGGAATTGAAGTAAACACTCCGTGTTGCAAAAGGAACAACAATTATGACATGAACACCGACAATCGGGCAAATCAAATGCATTGCATCGGCCAATAAAAGAGCGAATCGGGCTTCGGTCGATCAAAGAGACAGAGCGACAGAGATATTCGACGAACAACAAAAAAAAATTATTAGTTTACATAATAATAGTGGCGATGGAACGGCGTTTTTGCAACAACAAAAAACGTTCACTGTACAGTGTACACTGACCTATTCGAGAGCATTCAATCAATGTTGTACAGTTCATGTACACACATGTACACATTGAATAATTGTGAACGAACAAAAAAAGTTATGGTCGCATTATTCGAACGTTGGTGATCTGGCCGCTTATGTTCAACCACTGCTGCTGCTGCTACTGCTTCTTCTGCTATATAACAACATATTACGTATTACGGCTTCCTTTTCGGAGTGTTCGATGTTTGTCTTGTATGCATAGCATTGCTCTGTCTCTTTCATGCTTGCAATTCACGACGTAAATAGCGGCACAGAAAGTATAGGACGAAGGAATGGAATGTATGCCAAAAAAAAAATGAAATCGTTGTCTGAAGAACGAAGGTTGAGGATTTTCCATTGAAAATGCCATCTACCTCCATTTTTCGCCCGATATCGAACAACACTCACTGCTGCATTCGGCCGACGCTGCTATTGT